TCACAACAATCTGTTTTGTTACTTTTTTGTAATCGAAAAAAGTGATCAATTTTCGAATTTTAAGCTTATCGAGAGCTTTTGTGATGAATCACTGACCTAATTATAGAGTTCGTTGTTTCACATGTTTCATCTGATGTTCGGATCTGAGAACGTCCGGGAAAACTGCAAATACAAGCAAAGAGAAAACAAAATTTATTTAGTCTACTATTGAATAATACTTGTATTATACAATAATTAATGAGGGTTAATCGAGGGAAAGCTGATTTGCGAGTTATGAAACATACAAGACTAAATAATTTCTTTTTGCTCTGAAAAAAATGTCTTCAATCAAAGAAAATGTGATATACAGGATGGCAAAACATTCATCTCTAAGCGCGAAAAAGACAATGGAATTAATGTAATAATAAATCTCCTCATGACGAGTAAGTCTCACAGAATCTGTTTTGTTACCAAGAAGTGTCTCACAGCAATCTGTTTTGTTACTCAAGTAAGTGTCTCACAGCTCAAAGTGTCTCACAGCAATTTGTTTGTTACGCAAGTAAGTGTCTCACAGCAATCTGTTTTGTTACTCAAGTAAGTGTCTCACAGAAGTCTGCTTTGTTACCCAAGAAAGTGTCTCACGACAATCTATTTTGTTACGCAAGTAAGTGTCTCACAGCAATCTGCTTTGTTACTCAAGTAAGTGTCTCACAGAAATCAGCTTTGTTACTCAAGTAAGTGTCTCACAGCAATCTGTTTTGTTACTCAAGTAAGTGTCTCACAGCAATCTGTTTTGTTACCCAAGAAAGTGTCTCACAACAATCCGTTTTGTTACGCAAGTGTCTCACAGCAATCTGTTTTGTTACTCAAGTAAGTGTCTCACAGAAATCTGTTTTGTTACCCAAGTAAGTGTCTCACAGCAATCTGTTTTGTTACACAAGTAAGTGTCTCACAGCAATCTGTTTTGTTACTCAAGTAAGTGTCTCACAGCAATCTGTTTTGTTACACAAGTAAGTGTCTCACAACAATCTGTTCTGTTACTCAAGTAAGTGTCTCACAGCAATCTGTTTTGTTACACAAGTAAGTGTCTCACAGCAATCTGCTTTGTTACTCAAGTAAGTGTCTCACAGAAATCAGCTTTGTTACGCAAGTAAGTGTCTCACAAAAATCTGTTTTGTTACTCAAGTAAGTGTCTCACAGAAATCAGCTTTGTTACGCAAGTAAGTGTCTCACAGCAATCTGTTTTGTTACTCAAGTAAGTGTCTCACAGCAATTTGTTTTGTTACGCAAGTAAGTGTCTCACAGAAATCAGCTTTGTTACTCAAGTAAGTGTCTCACAGCAATCTGTTCTGTTACTAAAGTAAGTGTCTCACAGCAATCTGCTTTGTTACTCAAGTAAGTGTCTCACAGCAATCTGTTTTGTTACTCAAGTAAGTGTCTCACAGAAATCTGTTTTGTTACTCAAGTAAGTGTCTCACAGAAATCTGTTTTGTTACTCAAGTAAGTGTCTCACAGCAATCTGTTTTGTTACTCAAGTAAGTGTCTCACAGAAATCTGTTTTGTTACTCAAGTAAGTGTCTCACAGCAATCTGTTTTGTTACGCAAGTAAGTGTCTCACAGCAATCTGCTTTGTTACACAAGTAAGTGTCTCACAGCAATCTGCTTTGTTACACAAGTAAGTGTCTCACAGCAATCTGTTTTGTTACTCAAGTAAGTGTCTCACAGCAATCTGTTTTGTTACTCAAGTAAGTGTCTCACAGAAATCTGCTTTGTTACACAAGTAAGTGTCTCACAGCAATCTGTTTTGTTACTCAAGTAAGTGTCTCACAGCAATCTGTTTTGTTACTCAAGTAAGTGTCTCACAGCAATCTGTTTTGTTACACAAGTAAGTGTCTCACAACAATCTGTTCTGTTACTCAAGTAAGTGTCTCACAGCAATCTGCTTTGTTACTCAAGTAAGTGTCTCACAGAAATCTGCTTTGTTACGCAAGTACTTACCATCATTAATGATTCACAACTTGAACTTAGTGATAATGATGTGTTTATTTTCCTAAAAATAATATTATAATAATATTGAATATTGTATGGGGTATATGTTACTTGCGCCAGTTGCGGTATTCTAACCTGAATGAAAGGGATATAAAGAGGGTAAGGGGCAATCAATCACACTCCTTGGACTTGTTAGGCATGCGATTATTTTTCATTCTGAATGCACTGGAAGCCCAGAGTCTTTTAAAAGCCATTGACTTGTTGCACTAAAGGTACTGCGGTATGAGGATATAGTGTATAGTAATTGCTGAAAATTGGAGTGCGAGGCGGAATGCATGTACCTTCTAGCGCCATTGCAATTCATGTTATTGTGTCACAAATATAAAGTCATTTATGCTTCATAATTACAAAGTCATTTATGCTTCATAATTTTCACCGAAATATATAATACACAGTGTAAATACTAGGTATGCATGTGTGATTGCATGGCTGCATAATACAGAAGTTCAACTACAGCCCAAGATATGGTTCTGTCATTGTGTTTAGTGATGAACTATTGAAGAAAGTGCTTTACCTATCTTGCTCTGTTTCATCCATAAACTCTTCCTAGCAACAACAAAAACATACAGGCATACAACATTATGATATACAGTATAATTAGAATAATGGTCAATTTAACACAAAGATTTTCACTACGCTTTGGACTTATTGCAGGACTCCAGACTGAAAAGTTTATAAAATGTAATAAAATGCACAAAGGTGATTCTGGGTTTGTGCATATGAGAATAACTTAGGCTCAAACGTGCACAAAGGTAATCCTTTGCACACTGCAAATATCCTGGTAGACTGATGCAATATTGAAAAAATGTATCGATAGTGCTGTGCGCCAGAGTTCTGCCAGAGCTCCAGCATTTTTTCGTCAGCCAGAGCTGCGGTGCTTTCTCCCAGCTCCGGCTGTAAAGTCAGAATGAGAGGAAATGTGACAATTTCAAAGAATTAGTGTTGGTTACAACTAATGGCAACATCAAATTTGTTGAAAGTACATATAATCTGAAGCCATATCTGTTGGGTCAAGTGTAAACAGCCAAATTAATTGCAATAAGTCATCATGTTTGTGATCTATCTTATCACAGGAAAAGTTGTAATTCAATCTCAAGCATCGTGCTTTGATATGCTGAATCATGTCACCTTACATTGTCACCTTACATCTAACTCTGAATCAACTTTACGCTGCATGTGCATAGTCTGTTGTATTCATGTCTTGTAAAAATAATTACTAATTATGAAATATCTACTTTTATTAGCTTTATATGTTTACATTTTGGACAATAAATGAATCAACAACAGCTTTCTTTCATATAATTTGTGTGCGAACGATTGCTCTGTGGAGGACAGAGAGGTTGGCGTTGTGCCATTGCACACTGTCAAAATGAAAGGCTGAGCTCCATAGATATTTTCTACTTGGTCAAGTGTTTTTGGGTCAAAGAAATGCCATGCTCCTTCCAGGCAACATTGGTCACTTAGCATTCATTAAATTTAATTATAAAAAGTTTTAAAATTTTTGGCAATTTGTACTTTCCAAGTTATTATTTGTTGTAGAGTACTTTATTCAATCTACATTTCTTTCACTTAATTCACTAACAAAAGCCATGCCAGGGACAAAATAACTTAGCCCAATAATATCCATCATTATCCAGTTATAGAGTTTATCCCCTGAGTTGTAACCAACACAGCTGGCGATTTGAGCTGTAAAACAGGCGGAGCTGAAAAACCGGAGTTTGCACATCACTAGGTATCAAAAAATAATATTGATTATATCGAATTATGCAAATTATAAAATGTAGTTTAGTCAACTTGCATGTATACTACATCACATTTATGAATGTTTCCTAAACTTTACTGGACAATAATTGCCAAAAAAGAGATAGGTTGTCTAGTTTAAACTTTCAATATGCGAAAAATCAAATATCAATATTTATAGAAAATATCAATATATTGCATTAGCCTACTTCCCAGTCTTGGCATGACTGACTCTCTTCATTTCAGCAGATCAACAAGACTGGAGAGTATGGCAACTTGTATTCTTGCATATTATTGACAATTTAAACAATAACACCTTGGATAAATTTCAGACATGATTGCACGATTGCACACCTAACTTTTTATCTTGGACACTCAAGATCTCTTCAAAAACTGCCGTACTCTGTAGTCTGGCTGATCGCCAACTTGAAAACTCTGTGTTCAAAATGACAACAAACATTGTAGATGTAATTACTCTGAGTGACATTTCCATTGGGACAGATGCAAAACTATGAGTGCAGCTAGCCCCGTGAAAATGCCACTCTGTCTGGAGTATAGCCATATATATATAATTCAACAGATTTCTAATGCCACAACCATGGACTCGACTGTTAGGCACTATAGGCCTTTATATCAGTTTGTTCAGCAGCAAGGAAAATTATGGCAGGGAGAAATAGTGAAATCATAGATCAACTAATTTACAATTAACACCTTAATACTTTCCCACTAATTAATTATACTTCTATAAAACTTAGAAATTTAGGTAATTAGAAAATTACTCACAAATATTTAAGAAAAACAATGATTTTTATTTAATAACAGAGACACTTTTAATATGCTCGATTCTGGCATTTACCTTTCTAATTTGAAGTAGTCTTGAATGAGGTGAACCTACAGGCTAAACACAAAACACCACGTTATTTAGGGGAAAATAAATGCATTTAAATTGTGACTCAAATGATTCTGTATTCGAACGTTCTAAGCTAGAAAATAGATGAAACGTACCACTGAATAAGGATTTCCATTGGCCATTTGACTTGTACTTGAGCGCCTATGTCGCGGTGTTATGGGAATATATGAGATATTTGCTTCAGTAAGATTAGCTCCATTTATAAGTGGTGCAGAGTTAGATCTTCGTAGATTAGTTTGAGGTGAATTTTGTTGTTCATCTGTGTCCATTGCTGCCATAATGTACTCTTTTTATACTTCTTCCATCCACAATCCAGTGCGCTAAGCATTGTGGGAGAAAGCTTTCCCGGCTTTTTCCGCCACCGGAATTCCGGTCCATGACTCCATGGACCATTCTGGCAAAAAAATTTGAAATGTTTATACAATCTGTTGAGATCTCGCATAAACTCATAAGAGAGATCCCTGCAATTCTAAAGCCGAAAAATTCTGCAAATTAGAAGCCAATGTTACATAAGTGTTGATTGTTTTTCGAGCAGAAATTTGGAATTCTGTTTTCTTCGAGCTTTACACTAAAAGTTATCAGCCCTTGTAGGTCTTGTAGACCTTTTACTGACGACAATGAAAAACTTCTGTCTTCTAAAAACACAAATTGCTAAAGTTGTTGGTTGGCCCCTGTGGTGTGGTGGACATGCTCCAACCAGGGGCGAAACTAGCCCCTTTTAATTAGGGGGGTGTCTGGCAGAATTGCCCTGCCAAAACCAGTGATGCCCTGCCAAAAAGTACCAAAAAATTTTTTCCGGAAAAATTATTTTGGCGATTTGTCCCATTTTTTTTTTTTTCAAACCAAAATTGCCCGACTGTTGATCGAATATTGCCCCCGCCCGGTACGCCTATGTGCTATCATTTATTTATAAGAGACCTTTGATTGCCCTGCCAATCGGGATGATTCGTATTTTGGGGGGGTGTAACACCCCCCCATACCCCCCTCAAGTTTCGCCCCTGGTTCCAACCCTCATTAATAAAAATAAAATTCGTTTTTAAAATTCATTTAAAATCAAAATTCTACCAGCAGTAAAGCAATAATTCTATTATATAAACAATAAACATATATTGGTCAAGCAATCAAGAATCACGCTTTTAAAACAAAAATCACGAAAATTAAAACATTTTGTAACAAAACAAAATTTGCAACAACATTTGAAATAAAATTTTGAAATAAAATATAATTGCCGTACGTATGAGTCTAGTACCAAAATACTAAATTTTAAAGAAATAAACTGATATTCTAAACCTATTGGTTTTGGACCGCAACTGTTAAAGTGTGTGCAGGGGCGTAGGAACCGGAAGGAGGCCAGGGGGGCCATGGCCCCCCAAGTTTTGGCAAGTGCCCTTTTTCCGGAAACAAGGTGCCCTTTTTGTGCGTAAAAATTTTTCATTAAAATTGTATTTTTAGCTCAAGGTGCACTTTTGAAAACTTCAAAGTACGTTATTTCCTGAAAAATGTTAAAAATTGCGGAAAAAAATCGTATATCCGGAAAATTTTGTTTGTATTCCGGAAAATTTTTTTAGTATTTACGAAAAAAATTTTGTTTATCCTGAAAATATTTTTGGGATATGTCCGGAAAATTTTTTTGGTCCCCTAAAATGTTACACTGACCGAAATTTTTTTGGCGACGGGGGCGGAGGTTCGGGGGAGGTCGCCAACTAAAAATTTGGAGATGCCCTTTTTTTTCGAAAAGTGCCCCTCAAAGCCTGCCCCCCCCAACTTTTCGAAGGTTCCTACGCCCCTGAGTGTGTGTCTGGTGTCTCCCAATTCCTGGCCATACAGGCCGTCCAAAGCCAGCATACACAGCATAGACAACCAAAAACAACAATCACAACAACAGTCCCCCCCTCACAATAAGTCAACAACAACAACAATCTATCAACAAGTTTAGATCAGTTAATCAATAACAACTTCGTTGAGTAACCTGAGACCGCGGAGTGTTTGGAAGTCGGGGTGGGAGCGAACGAAGCATATTGTAGTCAGATTTTTTTAACCATATATATCAATAACATTTTTTTCTTTTACTTTTACTTGGTGAAGGGGGGGGGGGGGCAATCCCCTCCAGCTCCGCGGCCCCTAACCCGTACTAAACATGCGGATTTATGCACGCACGCGTACCTACTTTTGCTGGGTTCGGAGTGGGTTCGGTAGGTTTGTTCGGAGTCAGGTGGAGTCAGGCAAAGTCAGGCTACTCCATGATAAAAACGAAAGCTCAGCCGCTCTGAAATCAAAATATTTTTTCTTCTTCTCGACTTTATATACTTCCAAACGCTTGAAAAGAAGATGCTTTCCAAATTTTAAACATCATTTATCCTTGTTCTCGCTATGGCACTGCACAAATCCGAAGTTGAGAAGTATATTAGCAAAATTGAAGGACGTTTGAACAGCCCACATGAGGTACAACGCAATGATATAAATTTGTATATGTATGGTGGCGCGAAATAATAGTTTGAGTGAATTATTAATTCTTAAATTATATTATTAATGTTTGATCTTTCAGCGAAATTTAAAAGGTTTAGCTTTTGCTGAGCTGTATAGAAAAGCTAGAGAATTTGAATTGGCAAAAAGGTGAGCAAGTTATAATGAAAGTTATAAAGTTATATAAAATAATCAACTTTCCCTGTGGGAGGAAACCAGACTACCTGGAGAAAACCCATGACCACAGTATAGGAAAAGTACAGTAGGGCCACTCAGCGTAAAAAAGTGTCTACATTGTTTACTGGCTGCCAACCTAATTTACATATTGGCAGCCAGTAAACGGCAGCAGTCCACTATAAAATTGTACTACAGAATAATGATTTTAGCCGCGTAAGACACCTGGAACCTAGCTTAAATAATTGCCACTTTTCTCTCCCCCAAGTGGCCCTACTGGTTGTCTCCCTATACTGTGCCATGACTTTCGGCAGAGCGTTGACTTGTACTCTTTCCATATGAAGACTGGGTTCGAGTCCTGTTGAGAAAGTTCTCACTGGGGCTTGAACCTGGCAAGTGCGCTAACCACTTTGCCACCGAAGCCCCAATTTTAACCCTTTAAGTGGCAATGCATGGCCTGATGCACCCTACTTTAGTATTTTACTCTGTCTAACACCAGATGATTTTACTCGTCAAGTGGAGAGTGCTGCCACTCAATGGGTTAACCAGCCAATCAACTTTTCATAGCAATTGTTACTAAGGACCCGATTGGCTGTTTAAAATTAAAAATGTAGGTGTTTGGTTGTCAACATTTGTGGGCATGAATTTTTAATGTGAATGAAATTTTCATGTGTTCCACACACTTTGGTGATCCGTAATAATATGCCAAAACTAGTGTTATGTCAACACATGGCTTGAAATAACAGCTGATCATCAATCAATGACCGGCAAGAACTTGTTTATAATTGGCGGCTGGGAAAACAGGGTATTGAACCAGAAAAAGCAGGGAAAGTCATAACTGTCGATCACCAAGATTGGGAACTTTAGGAACCTATTTCAAGCCCTGCAATTCCACACCCAAGATTTTCAAACTTTATCAACAGAATGCACCATGATAGTATGTATATTATACAAAAGAAAAATCTGACAGTTTTATTCCTATGTTAATATGCACACAAGAACAAGGGGGAATTTCGTTCTCGACCAATCAGCGCTTTTGTTTACATTTTTGCCCTAAGCCAATCAGAATGCGTAAAACGCTTCATCACATGAAATTTGTAAACAAACATATGGGGTTACTTCAGAGCTTTTCTGCAAGCGGTTTTTTTGTTTTTTGCCATGAAGCTCATATACTTTGTTCTTAAAAGAATTCTCCTCAACTTCCTCGTGGCGATTTTTGATTAATTGCGTGATTGCGAAGATATGGGTCTTCAAACTTTGCCTTGCGCAAGCTTAAATACCACCCCTCGAATTTGTAGGTTCCGAACGGATTAGCGTTTATAAAGCCTTTCAAATCGAGGTTTGAGAGGTTTTATTTTTTAAAAGATACTTTTATCTTCATATTTTCACATTAACTTATTAATATCCTGTGTAACAAGTAAACAGGGCATTTCCGAGCCGGGACAAGTTGACATGTCGATTTCTTGCCAAACAGCGTGGCGATCAATATGGCAAATATCTAAATACAGGGAATTTTTAAAATTTTGTTGGTATAAATGGGATAAAGAAGCTCATCAAATATTTGGACTATGGACCTTCAAACTTATGCCAAGTATTTATTTGATTGATTAGCTCAATAACTGACAGTTATTGGCTCGTTTTTCGTCGATTTCGACATTTAGTCGAGCTTAGTCGACTTCAAAATAATGTGTCAACATTGCGTGTTGCAGCCTGTGGATATGAATATTTTCGTTTGTTTGACAATAACACTTGTCTTCATTGGTTTTAATCCTTGATTGACAATATATTCATTGGTCTCAGAGTCCTAAACTTAAGGAAGATGGATGACATTGGGACAGAATGATTTTGTTCAATGTTGCTGTTCAGGTATCAAAATTTATGGATATATACCTGTATATGAACTTCATTGTTTTTTTACTTCATCTGGCTCACTTGTCACAATTGGGCTCTGTTCATATTACCTGGCTAGGTGGGAGACGACATTTGCCAGTATGTTCTATCCTATCCTGCTACTATCGGCCTAGCTAAGCGTGAGGTTTCCATTGCCAGAATCCTGGCTATATGTAAGCCAAGAAATTCACCATATATACAATAAGGATCAATAAGCACTGTATACCAAACAGGCAACATGAATTAGGCTTCAAGCATGTGTTCTGGATAGTCTAGATCATATAAACAGGTCCCCAATAGATCCCGATCTACTATAATTGAAACATTTTAGTCCATAAATTTGTGCATTACCAGAATACCTGTGCACAAATGAATATTTTACACATATTATATAATGCAATCCAATATTAAGCCCCCAGTAACCTCACAATTAGGCCTCCCTTCCAAAAATTAGATCTCCCTTCCAAAAATAAGCTCTCCCTGTTAAGGGCTGTCAAAATGGGCCATGCTAGCCCAGCAAACATGGCTGGATTTTCTTTTCAGGACTAGTTTGTCATTTGCCTCACAGGAGCCAGGCTAACCTGGCAACTGTTGTCAAGAAATTTGTGTGAAATGCTGGTTAATTTGTTAATGACAACAGCTTCAGAAGGCTTATATTAATCAATTTCTTATTTACTTGGGCCAAATTGTGTATTATAACATGATTTTTAGTCGAGTGAGCTGGTTGGCCAGCTTATGACCTTTATTAGTGTGAGACTCCCAATGCAGGATATCAACTTGCTCAAGCAAATGTTGGGCCAATAAATTCAACCAGGTTGTTTCATGTGAATGCAATCTCAAACATATATAAAATTAATATACGAGGCAGTATCTTACCATGGGCAGGTGTATATTTAGCCCATATAAATGGGCAAGACCAGCTTGCATGCCCAGTGTGATATTATACTACTGACAATACCTGGTTGATTCTACAAGGTTATGGCCTAAAATGTTCCAATTGTAGTTTCAGGATCTGCTAAGGGTCTGTCGATATGATCTGGGCTAGGCCCTGGTTGGGGGGATAGAATGTTTACTGTAAATGGTGAATTTCTTGGCTTGCATAGTTGGGATTCTGGCAACGGATACCTTGTGCTTAGCCAGGATAGTAGCAGGATAGTATATCGGCAATACTGGCAAATGTTGTCTCCTGCCTAGCCAGGTCATACGAACAGGCCCCATTTGTGACTAGTGGGCCAGATTAAGGAAGAAACAATGAGGGTCCTATGACTATGCTCTGTGACTATATATGTCCATAAATTTTGATATCTGAACAAAATTTTGATATCTGTCCCAAAGTCATCCATCTTCCTTAAGTTTAGGACTCTGCGACCAACTGAATATATTGTCATTCAAGGATTAAAAACAGTGAAGAAAAGTGTTATGGTCAAACAAACGAAAATATTCATATCCACAGGCTGCAACACGCAATGTTGACACATTATTTTGAAGTCGACTAAATTGTCGAAATCGACGAAAAACGAGCCAAAAAACAGTTATTGAGCTAATCAATCAAATAAATACTTGGCATAAGTTTGAAGGTCCATAGTCCAAATATTTGATGAGTTTCTTTATCCCATTTATACCAACAAAATTTTAAAAATTCCCTGTATTTAGATATTCGCCATATTGATCGCCACGCTGTTTGGCAAGAAATCGACATGTCAACTTGTCCCGGCCCGGAAATGCCCTGTTTAGTTGTTACACAGGATATTAATAAGTTAATGTGAAAATATGAAGATAAAAGTATCTTTTAAAAAATAAAACGTCTCAAACCTCGATTTGAAAGGCTTTTAAAAACGCTAATCCGTTCGGAACCTACAAATTTGAGGGGTGGTATTTAAGCCTGCGCAACGCAATGTTTGAAGACCCATATCTTCGCAATCAAGCAATTAATCAAAAATCGCCACGAGGAAGTTGAGGAGAATTCTTTTAAGAACAACATATATGAATTTCATGGCAAAAAAACAAAAAAACGCTTGCAGAAAAGCTCAGAAGTAACCCCATATGTTTGTTTACAAATTTCATGTGATGAAGCGTTTTACGCATTCTGATTGGCTTAGGGCAAAAATGTAAACAAAAGCGCTGATTGGTCGAGAACGAAATTCCCCCTTGTTGCACACAAGTAGTTTTGTCATTGATCATGACTGTTGCAATTACTAATAATGTATTTATAATTACATGTAAATAATAATTATAAATACAATATATTTGTAACAAATTTGCAAATTCATTTTAATAATTTAATCAAGAGAAAAATGTGCCATTAGAACAGCTAAATTGTTGCAGATTTAAAACTTTTGGCAGCAAGCAGTAACATTAGATACAACCTATTGTAACAATTAGTGACCTCAATCACAAACATGTTGCTAACCCTAAATGTATGTTTATCCACAAAACATATGAATGGTACATTAAAAAAAAAATACAGACTCCACACATGAAATTTCTACTGTTCAGAGGGGGACGGCATAAAATCCACTTATGAGTATAGGAATATGCAATACTGTAGGACATCCAAAAAGGAGAGAGGAATGGTTCCCAGTAGAAGGTGGCACCTGGCAGACGATTACATTTCTCAAATGACAACCCAAATTGTTATACAGTTAGTGTCAAAGTTCAATTTTTCTGTTTGCCGATTGGTCAAACCGTGTCACGTGCCGGTCCACAAAACATCATGTTCGGCAACCGGTCCGCAATGAAACATTTATTGACCGGTCAATAATAAAATGGGTGCAATACGCATGCGTGCATATCAACCATGAAGTTCCAAAGTTCATTTTTTAAACTTTTTACAAAACATTTACGGCGTTCTATTTATCCAGTTTTGGTTTCAAATTAAGTTCACGCCAATAATCGGTGAATTATTCATACTTTGACACTTATATACTATATAACAAAACACTTATTTACTGAGACCTTGGGAAAGCAGTGTGTTTTGTGGCCCCTCGACCGCCGTTGTTGCCCTCGGCTTTGCCTCGGGCAACAACAGCGTTCTCGGGTCCACAAAACACACTGTTTCCCTTAGTCTCAGTAAATAAGTGATAAGTATTTCCTTCTCACCATATAACTGTGAAAGGAAAGTTTCTTGCTTTCATAACATAAATTTTACACAATATTTGTCCTCAACTATTTGGATAATATGACAAAATCTCCAAAACTATTCTCTAAAATGACTTAGTTGAAATGCAATTTGGGAATTGTCCACCCAAGATTAAATAATAAACTATGGAAACCATCAAAATTGTGCATCTGATACAAAGTACGAATCAACAGCTCTCAGGGTTTGTGAAGTAAATGTCATACAAAATGTGCTCTTCCCTTGATGAGTAAAATACAGTAGAATAATAAAGTAAGGTAAGGTGCATTGGGGCACAAAGCAATTACTTAATGGGTTAAATCTATGTTTAATTAATGACAGTCAGGGGTCGAAATTTAATTTTTTTTGTACTATACAGCCAGAATAGTAGATTATGAAATTTACTATTCCGTCTGAAAATCCACTATTCCTTAATGTACTGTACTGTTTGTCTGTTTCTGAGAGCCTGTTCATGCAGGGTCCGCGTTAATGTTCTGATTTTCGTAAAATCATCCTTGAGACTCCCAAAATGAACTTCAATAATTGAATAACAAAAAATATACATGTACAGTTATCTGATGGTACAAATAAAAAACGATCTATTCGACTTATTTGCCACAGTCGGATGAGCAAGACAAAATTCACAAAACATTTTGTCAAGTTCACTTTTTGTTATTGTCCAATTTTTGGAGCTTGGCTGACGGTTCTCTGCGCCCGATACATACCGCCGCATTTTGTATAACGTTTTAGTCAATCATATAAAAACTAGACGCTAAAGTTGTTTTTGACGACAGGGCAGGCCCGCGCCAGTTTGTCATGTTATTGTAGCAAAGTTAATTATAATAAGTTAATATTGCTGCAAAGAAATTAGAATACGCAAGTACTGCAAGCGAACAAGAACTTTGCTACGAAGTGGAACAGTGGCTCAAAGTCCGGTATAAAGTGATATATTATACAAGAGGAAAACTCTTGCTTGTCGATATTTGGTACCACAATTTTTTATACTATACAAACAGAATACCATGATCATGAAGTTTAGTATATTCGGAATAGTGGGAATTTCGACCCCTACGACAGTACAGTATATGAAACAGTATATATCAATTTAATTTTCCACTTTGTTCATGTATAGGTATACACTTGCCTACATCAGTACAAACAGCAATGACTACAGGTAGGCAGTTTTCTTATTTAACCATATACTGTAGGTACTTTGTCAATTAAGTGGCACCTGCAATTGACTGCTGGCCCACACAAGAGAGTAAAATGATTAAAAAGTGGCGCACTGTGCTGCCCTTGATTAAGTGTCGCACTTACATGTACTCACAACAACACAGCTCTTACTAAAAACTTCATCTGGCAGAATTGTCCAAGAAGCAAAAGTGAAAAAACAACAGTGCATTGTGACCTTCTCAGAATTGTTTTCTCCTGTGTTACAGTATTTTTGAGTTCACACTTAGTTGACTGTCACTCCTACCCGTAGAGGACACTTTTCTAGATGGATCAAGCCCTAAGCTATATGATATGAGTTTATTATGACAACATGCTTATCATCAGCACCACCATTGATGCTTGTTTTGATATATTGTTTGAATAAAGATCTACAAGCTGAGCACACACACTTTATATAATGAGTCCTGGCAACAGATAACCTGCAATCAGGCTTTATTTTTCTTGTGGTGAGCTAGCAGGCAAAGAAAAATGAAGGCCTGATATAAATGTTATTAAAAGTTTGTGTCCTATACAAATTGAATTGTTGAGAATGCTTATGCTTTTTCATGCTGTGGTGAGACGTCGTAGAGGTTTGCGATGGTGCCTGGCTGTGGAATGAACTTGGACTGGTTGTTGACTACAGTATACACCAAGTCTGTTGCACATTAACAGGCTTAGGCATGTCGAAATTCTATCTTTACTGATAACGTGACCAAAGTGGGTTACATCAAGCTTGTACAGTACCGGTGCTTGAATTTCTTCTTGTTTAGCTTCAGCTCTTTTGATCTGCATCCTAACAGGACATTGAAGGCAGTGCCATGGCTTTCTATCGCTTATTCCTCGCTATCCTCAGTACCATAGACTATGACCATAGACTATGATATCATCATGAATCACTGCTATATTGGATTAAAGGAATACCGAATGTTTTTCTGTGCAGGATTGCATGATCCATGCACAAGGGATGTTGAGAGACTTTCGGAAAATGCGTAAAAATACT